TCTCTCTCTCTCTCTCTCTCTCTCTCTCTCTCTCTCTCTCTCTCATTTCTGTCTATGTCCTTACGTTTTTCCGTTTTATTTGCAGTGAGAAAATGATTTTAATAAGGTATTCATAGGAAAGTATTACTTTTTTTAATTTAAAAAATGCACCTACTTGTGGTAACAGTTTTGTTTGTTTCCTCTTGTATCAATAATTTTATTGACACCACAATTAGGGATTCTCACGTCTTCACATATTACTTATCACGACACGTCAAACTATTTACATGTATTAGGATATCATGTCTGTTTATAGAATTCTTAAACGCGTCAGTCTTACCTTTTCGAGAGACTTGTCATCATTAAAAACCAAGTCATTTTCCACCAAAAATAATTTTTGAACAACGAATTAGATGTCATACAAACAATCAAACAAAGGTTCTGTAGTATCGATTGTACCAATGTCTTTTCACAATAATTCCGTGACCTGTGGGTAGGTGGCGGGTGCTATGGTGCGGTTTGCTCCTTCACAGGGACGTTTTGCTGATAGCGATTGTTTGCCCCCAATAGGTTTGTTTTTCCAAACCATGCAATATACGTATGTCTAACAACAACAACAACAACAACAACAACAACAACAACAACAACAACAACAACAACAACAACAACAACAACAAGAAATAAAAAAAATTAAGTCTAATTTATAATTTCATCCGTCACAACAATATTTTTTTCTTAGAAAACAGATAAGCTTACGTGACTTATATTAGTTATTACTGAGACTTACAAGCACGCACAAGACGAGTTATTACCATACCATTATCATTATCATTATTCTACGCACTTTTACAATCATTCTCAAATTTAGTTATGGTAATAAAGTTGCGTGATAAAAAACAAGGCCGAGAACAATTGATGCTTTAAAAAAATCAAACTCAGAGGAGAATCTCCTAACTTATTTATAGCTCACGATATTTGAATCTGTCTCGCTCAAACGCCAGGTAGGATGCCACCCAGGGGCGAAGCGTCTATATAATCAAATAATCACTGCTTCCCTTCCTAATTTTGAAACATTGTCGCTGTCAAATTCATCCATAAACGTAAACCTCTTAAATTAAATGTCAAAAGACGTTCGTAATCAACAATGAACAGTATGCCTAACATTCAAAACGGTTTCACGGCCACAGAAATAGCCTCCTCACCCCTCTCGGGCCACTCCATAAGCAGTCGCAAGCTTTGATTAAGTAAGCTTAAAGTGAGGCTGGAAGAGTCCACCAATATAGTTGAAGGGAACATGTGCATAGCAGTCTAAGCTGTTTCATTGCCACATATACCCTGTTCACCCCTTTGGGATCTCAGTTAAAATCAATCTCAAGCCCTGATTATGTAATCTAACTAACACTGGTCGAGTCTACCTCACAAATGTGAGGGGGACTAACTCCTAACAATCTCTTCACTGTTGCAAGTACTTGCTTTTTATCCTCGACTTTTTACCGTCCTATAATCAGATCGTGACCTCGATTATGACACCAGCTCCTGGCCGCGGAAGGCTAACAAAACAGCCAAATGTAAAATTTAAAAAATGATAATTGTCATGTTCTACCAAAGAGTTAGACTCACTGGTAGATCTATAACATATAGATCTAGTACTGACGTCTCTGCTTCTTTGCTTTGTGTTTATGTATTCACATCTAAAGTTAAATTTAATTTTAGTTGGAACTGATATTTAATAAGATACTTTCCCGATTATTTTGGCGGTTGAACATACAATATGAATTCCGGATTTGTTTTCATTCACAACTCAAGAGTCGCCGCCTCGAGTAAGATTCTTGTGTCATATCTACAGGCCATATCTGGTCCCGTTTCACTTTGATTACCCTGTCAAACAAGTCAGCCTTCGCCCCTGATGACACCAAAACTCGGAAGTAGCTCTCGAGCATAACAATAATATAACGGCTACCTACCCAAGACAATCACCTGTACAAACGACCACTTCCCACTTTTCCCCTGCGTTGTTTAATATCATAATGGCACTGCCCGAGATGTCCACCTGCCTAAGCTTCTCTCCTCGACAATTAGTGACTATCTTTGACAACTTCTACGGCGTAGACCTATTTTTTTATAACATTTATGCTCCCCACAAAATAGTAATTCTAAATCGGAAGAGTGCCCTCCATATCAGCAACACGGTCACGTGCAAAGCTCAACCAGGAATCGTAAAACAACATATTTGTTCTGTTTATTATCTTGGCTACAACTTTGTACGACTTTGTAGCAGTGCTCTCCATTTTAACACTGTCTATAAAGAACGGAGAGGTTACTTATTTTCTTCACGTGAGGCCGAGAACGTGCCATAAAGCCATTGATTCTATGTCTGAATTATAAGCTGAGGGGCAGACAACCCATCGCTTCTTTCAGCCTGCTACGGACGGCGCCATCTCGCAAGTCAAGCGAGCGTTTTGAAATATCCATTTTTAAAGAGCTTTTTCTCATATCCAGGATCTCTATCATCGCTCTCTGATTGAGGATCTTTCTTAGCATTGAAGGACAAAGTAGAAGGTTTGTCGATTCGAGAGATACAAAACAAAACAAAACAAACTCTAGTCTATAGAATAAGGAGAAGGCTGCTAAAAAAGAACAAATTTGTCAAGGTTGCAGAGCTTGGTGGGGTAAGGAGATTATACTTGGTATTGCAGTGTCGTATTTTGATTTTTGTAAACATTTCTTCGATTGTATAATTTAGAAAATATTTTATCTTAATGATATCATCATCATCATCATCATCATCATCATCATCATCATCATCATCATTATCATTATTATTATTATTATTTATTATTATTATCATCATCATCATTATTATCTTTATTCATGCTACTACTGCTATTATATTTAGTATTGTCATCATTATTACTATAATTATTATTAGTATATTATTATCATCATTATAATTAACAATAACAATAATAATAATGACTCTCTCATCTTTCTCTCTCCCCCCCTCTCTGTCTCCCTGTCTGTCTGTCTGTCTGTCTCTTTATCTTTCTTTCTCTCTCTCTCTCCCCCTATGTTAAAATATGTGGATGTATGGGGCAAAGGCCTTTCAAATCAATAAATCATTTTGAATCTCTCTCCCCCTCCCTTACCCCCTCCTCTAACACAAAAGAAAAAAACCTATAAGAATATAAAAACAGTAACCCTACCTCTCTACCCTCTCCTTAAAAAAAAGAGAACTAAAAACCTCGAACAAAAAAGCTTGAACAAGTTTCAAATAAAGGAAAAACAACAGGTATAACAGCTAAACAGTAGCAGCATCATCATAAGCAGCAGAACAACAACAACAACAACAACAACAACAACAACAACAACAACAACAACAACAACAACAACGACAACAACAACAACGTCAGCAGAATAATATAAGCCAGGTACAGCCTCTAATATCTCGACGTGTAGTTTCCCTGGTCCTTTCAATTATTGATTAACACTCACTCACACACACATATTTCCTCTCACACTTTGGATTTGATCTCACATACCCACAGCTCAAAAACGAATTATCCAAAGGAATAAAGAATCACGAGACCCTAGTTTCAATAGGAAAAGGCATTAGTTAGCGATAAATAGGCGGGAGGCA